CCAATCACAACGCGCGAAATTTGTCCACTCAGTGCGCGTTTGGAAAGGGTCGACAGAATTCGCGCGTTGTGATTGGCCAACGCGTTGCAAAGTCTTGGAGGTGCACAATGGTCGAGTTCGGACGTTCTGTTCTTGACATGGTTTTCTTGTTCTCGCTCTCGAACGGCGGGAACACGACTCGGAAGAGGATCACACACACCACCTCCTCGTCAGGGATTTACAGGAACAGATGGAAAAACTTGTGTGATTTTTATTTTTTGAACAGTAGCCAAAAATATACAGATGGCTTACAAAGCCAGAGACAATAAGAAGTTTTCCAAAGTTTACATTAATTGTTTTCCATAACACAGAAATGAATTTCCCTGTTTAAACGGAAAAGAATTCAGCCCAGTTTAATATCCAAACATTAACTCTTAAATAACCTACATGTACACGAACGCCGCCATGTTGGATGTTACTTCTCACTGAAGGATAACCAGTTGTACGTTCCTCGCGGCGCGTTCGAGCGGCCGACACACGCACAACACTATCGTGCTGTTAGTGAACATACGAGAGCTCAGCCAATAATTGTGAACCGCCCGTATTACAGTAGACGAGCCTTTACTGCAAATATCTTGCACGTTCTGTGATCCATGCTCCACCAGTTATGGTCTCTTCATACATGCGCAGTTCACTTCAATCAACACATGGAATGCGGCCATGAAAAGGCTGTTACATTTATAGAAGGACTATCATGTTCTTATTTTTGTTACGATCCACAGCACAAAGTTTGTAGTTTCATCTTCACCTGGATTTTACAGACACGTAAGTATGGTTTCCATTTTTCTTGTTTATTTTTGAATTACAGAACTGCGGTATCTCTGGTATTTAGTAGTTTCTCAGAAAAATGTTGCAACAACGTTCAAAAAATATATGGCGAAGCATCAAAAAAGAACTCCATGTTTGAGGTTGTCTTCACTCATGCGCGGCGTTTGGATCGTACAGCTTGTGTCAGTGAGTTCGAATTGACAGATCAGACCCCCCCCGTCGATAATATGTGTTTATTTATAACTGAATATGAGCAACATGGTCTTGTATAATTTATACGGAATTTTCACCAATCAAAGTAGTCAGAGTTAGCATTTCCACCAATCAAAGAAGTCAGACTTGTAGACTCGTTCGTTATAATAGAGGTAGGAACGACGTAGAAACAAGTCCAGCAATTTGATTGGCTGCTACCAGGTTCGGCCCATGAGCCCATACGCTGCGTACAAACGGCTGGCAGATTCGTCAAGTCGGGATTTCTGAACTCACAGTAAAAACGTAGGCCTATAGAGGGAGCAAAGCGACGCGCGGCCTCCGACCGTATCCAAAGCGTAAATGCAGACAACGTTACGGAAGATCCCGACCATAACTGTTTGCAGGGCAAGGGGAGCGGATGAGTTGAAGGCCATAGGCCCATCGCCCATTTTTTCCCCTAATGATAAAAGTTAAATACAGACAAGGGAATATCAAAACATGACGTGAGGGACAGATTACTTTTATTTTTTTCAAGGTGGGGAATGTTCATTATCGGCTGTAGTGTCCAAGTTGGGAGATATGTGCACGTACGTATCTTACAAAACAGAGAAAAGTACCTGGTGCTCGATTAATGCTAGAGCTGATACCTTCAAAAATTCAATTTTTCTTTACACAAACCTCTTGGCCCACAATCCTTAAATTTTAAGTGATGCTGACTTTTGCCTATAAATTCTCAATCTTATTCTGAGAGAACCCTGTGTTGAGTTTCACATTAACCAGTGAACAAGAAAACAGAGGTCGCAGGCCATTGCACATTCCGGGGACAAAAGAATACCGTACGGTTAAATGAATGTTGACCGAATTCCACGTATTCACGGTACGGGTCAGTGTGCGCATTGAGGACTGCTGCAAAATTTGTTCAGCGCGCAGCCATTCAAACAGCTCCAAAGCTTGACATGCCACACCCAACAAATAAAAAAAATTTCATGAAATCCTAGATACCACAAAATCATTATAGCGTCCTTGACATTATCCTCGTCACTGTGTATGTTCTGATCCAAGCGAAAGAACAATCAGTCAAAAGCGATCACATTGTTGGGGTCGTTATATAATCAGATAATAGGCTATAGGTTCATTATTTTCATCTGTTAATTCCAAGACTTCATTGCGATCCATTCCATGATGTAAGAAATATTCATCGTTTACCTCCATCGTCATTGTTTACAGGAACACATTTCATTTTACAATAAAAAACAAACCTTCGTTTCGGTTTCCAGGTGTTTGGAACTATGAAACATCACATCGTCGTGGTTTCACTGGCAACGTTGATCTTTTCCTGCAGCCCGGTCAACTCGGGCGTTGCGATAGCTCCGCTAGCGGCATCAATATGTGGGATATGGCTGGCTTTCGGCGCTGCTGGGACGGCAGCCATAGCCGCTCTGACAGGCGGAGCTGCGGCAGCAGCCCTCATACCGGTCCTTGAAGCGGGAGCCGCGAGTTGGTCGTCTTGCATGATACTGGTGGGTGGCATCGCGACCATGACGTGCTTCGACACGAACGCCATGGTGCAAACTCCGCGGGGCAATCTTCCGATACAGGCCCTGGCTGCTGGCGACGCCCTTGGAAATGATTCCTTCGTGACGGATATCGCAGTCGAAAAGGGGAACTTCACGTTCCTGGAAGTCAGCTGGCTTGATCGCGGTCGTGAGGATGCAATCAACGTCACTGCCAATCACCTTATGCTGGTTCAGAACAGTGGCGCACTTTTGATCAAACCCGCTATGTCTCTGGGGGTAGGCGATAAAATGATAACTACTGACGGTGCCGGTGTGATAATCACAAAAATCAGACCACTAACTAAGCAAGAAAAAATCATTCTACACACTTCTAATGGCTTAGTTAATGTGAATGGCATTCAAACCACGGCACTTTGCGACAAGACCCCTTTCGAAGGTTCAGATATCTCTGCTATTGAAATAGACGAATATTTCACAAAGTATCACGAAAAACTCATTTTTCAGTAATTACTGAAACCTATGTTTTTACAGAAGCAATTATACTGCTTTGTTTTCACGAGACTTAGAACGGTGATAGCACGCAGGACAGTGTCAAATGTTAACCTAGTTTTACTGCGATACTTTGAGAAAACGAAGTTCACTAGTTTGTGTGAAAATTTAATTGTGGGAAAATCCATTGAGACAAATTACACTTTTAAAGCGAATTTTAAACCTATCTTTTTAATGAAGCATTTGGGATGTTTTGTTTGAGGTTTAATGTGTACGGTATATTACGTGTAGTTGTAATGTTTTGCTCATTTTTACTGTATTTTAACTAGTATTTTGAATATGAAGCATCACTGACAATTCAGTTTTAAATGATATTATAGAAATTATTATCATTATTGAAAATATAAAAAATATTCGGTGTAAGCATTACAAACAAGAAGTCAAGATGTAAAATTCTAAAATCACTTGGTGAAACATCAAAATAAGAGTTCATCAGCAATCGCTTGGACCATCACATTGAACTCGAGCATAAAGCAGTGCTGATTTCAAGAAATTTTTAAAACTCTAATCTTTTAAAAAAGTAATAAGGCTAAAAGGAGTGAATAAAAATGACAACATGTATTTGGTCAACTAGCCTTGGAGCTTCAAAGAAACATGTACCTAATAAAGGAATCTGAGATTAATAACGTCCTTATCTCCACAGAATAACTTCGCAGATGACTTGTAACAATTTCATTAAATGTAGTCTCAACATGGTTGCGGCTTTAATAGTTAATGGTTAATTTCTTTCCATAGTATTGTTACAATAAAATGAAAAATTGTCTATAGTTTCAACACTGTTAAGGGCTAATGTCTTTGTATATTATTAGCCGTTGCTATTGTCTCAGCAGGAGATCATTGTCATTGCAATCACAAACTGCGGCTGGATACAAGTTGTGTGCCCTGCCACGCCTACAGAAAATATAGGTAACATTGGATAGTTGTTGGCAGACCAGGAAACTCAAGAAGGGCATTTGGAGTTAGGATATGTTAATATGCCTATGCGGATTTGTGGTTTAAAGTGACCAGTTGTAGTTTTGGTTTGATGTGATATCCGTAAATATTTTTATGTTGTATGTGGGCGCCATTAACACGTTTATTTGTTGAAAATGTGGAATATTTCCGCACAACATGTGTAGTATACTGCATTTAATTGCTTTGTAAAAGAGTGTTTAACAAGTTTTACTTTGATTTGACGGGAATTATGAACTGGGACAGAGATTCAGTAGTACTGGATGATGAACCATGGTGTATTTTATCGGAATTACGGGCGATTCATAATAGCGTGCCTCCAAGAGTTTGCAGCATGTTGGCGTGAAATCTGTCGACCCTTTCCAAATGCCAATTGGCCAATGTGTTGCAAAATCTCGGAGGCGCACTACTGTGAACGCCAGGGCCGTTATTTGTAGTGTTAATAAACTGAGTGGGGTGATTACCTTAACTACTGTCTGTGTAATGCAGTCTATCGGTTTATGAAATCAATAATTCAACTAATATTTTACCCTCCCTTCCCTAATGAACAAATGGTACAATTGTGCCTTCCGCAAAGGGGTACAGCACTGTGTTAGGCCCCCTGAAGTAGGGTAAAATGGGCAGGTTGAAGCCAATAATCCACCTGCTGTTCTTTCCTGATGAGTAAGTCATTTTCAGGGCTTTCTGGTGTCTGGCTAATGCTCTTGATGCTGCTAGAACAAAGAGCGATAATCTACAATCGTCATGCTTCATGTTACCAGTAAAGAAATAAAGACTTCAGTCAAGCTTATGTCTGTTCTCCTCGAATGGAATCCACAAACAAGCTGCGCTACAATAAAAGCTGTTTGTCAAAGGCAACCAAAATGGAGGATAACATTTGTAATGACAGCTTTCCAATTCATGAGGGAAACTTGGCTTCTCACACCCTGTCAAGCCCTATTACAAGACACAAAAGTGAAGATAAAATGTTCATTGAAAATGTCATTACATGTTAATATAAATGTTTTATTGACTGAAATACTGGAAAAACAAGAAAACTACACCTTGAACTAATTCTATCCCAGTAATAATAATCTGTCCTTACAAGGATGAGCAAAATACGAGGCCCTAAACACCAGCCCAAGTTGGTGGTGTAAATATTCTTACCATCCCAAACACCCAACACAGGCTGATAATCATTACATCATCACATCTTCAAAAGTTACAATTAAAAGTCCACCAATTCAAATCTTTGGCCCACTTAAATTAAATTGTTTTAGCAGTGAATTCGATACATCTTCTTCACAGACAACTGCGTTTTCATCTTCGTGCATGTAAATTTCAGTTATCGACTGGACCATGTTTTTCTTTCACTATATCATCTGGTTGAATTCATATGCATTTCCCTAGAATAAATATGTCGTACATCTGATCATTGCAATACGTGTGCTCCATCTTTTCACAGTTTAAAACTGGGCATGATACAATAAACTTTACTCAATTCAAATAAATTTCACCGATTCTCTCTTGTTATCCCAAAAAATCCAAGTTGTGGCCTTGGCACACAGTGAAAATCTGACATGATCGCAGAGGATTGACTCTGCTTGCAATTTTTTGGCGTCATTGGAGTAGGCTCACTCCGTGATCTATGACTCATTAATCCGTTCAATCTCTAACTTACTCCAAATCCCAATCTCAAAAGAACACAGAAAAGGATACAAAAAAGTCAACTTTGAGAAAAGTCTGCAGCCCACTTCCAAAATAGAAAATATACAAAAGTAACATTTCATTTCTTGATTCCATTTAGGACAGGTGAGCTGGAACAATTTATTATTCTTTTCTACTTCCCTGAACTATCCAGTCGTACCGTAAAGGGCCATCAGCTGACAGAGGTCTTGCGGTGACCCAGACGGCTGCGCTCCCCTGCCCACGACTTGGACTTGGCCTTGAAGTGCAGGCAGTCCTTTCGGTAGCCCTCGTGGTCCATCGGTGTGTAGGACTGCGGCTCGCACATTGTCTGAGAAACGACCAATGGGGGAAGAGAGAGAGAAATTCCTAGGATGTGAAATCAAATGAAACTGGGACACTTCTTTAGTCCAACACAACGGTTCTGTCCATGTGTTGTCAGAAGTTGGTGGCTTGACGCCAAGAAGCAGATAAAAATTGACAGCCTGACGGAAGAGCGCCCTCAAAAGTTATTACGCAGAGGCTGTAACAGACAAAATAGCAGTCTAACACAAATTGAACAAAAAAAAAAAGAAGCAAGACACGAGCATAGAGACCAAGATAAGGAATAAATAAAGACCGATACTGAAGTGGGAAGAGAGTTACGTCAAAGTATTTTTCAAATCATTTCAGGACTACGTCAACATTTCGTCAGATACCACCTATCGTTATCAGTGCCAACCTTGTCGTGCTCGTAGAAGGCCTTGTAACCCCCCTGCAGGATGTAGAGCTCTGGGTAGTAAAGCTCCGGGTACGGGTTGGCCTCCCGATCCTTGTTGCGCAGGAAGCGCAGCAAGTCGGGCCCCCGCTTGGAGGAGAACTCGCAGTGGAAGATGATGACACGACCGTCCAGGGGCTCTAAAGGCTGCTCCAGGAAAAACTGACTCACCAACTCTTTGGTATACAAGTTCTTGGCACCCTTAAAAACGAAAAGACAAAAAAGTGGCCGCGAAGATCACTAAACATCTACAGTGTCAGAGTTCACAGGCAGCCAATAAAATACGGTGACCTGTTTACTACTCACCTTGATGTGCCCACCGTTGTACTCATACGGATAGCGGCAATCCAAGATGTAATGCTCCTTGACCTCAGCGATCTCTGACCTCAGGACTTGACACACTGTCTCCGGTGTGATGCTCTGTAAATCCTGATGTTTGCCTTTGCATACAGGTAGAGCATACGGCTACGAACAAGGGAGAAAGGGGAAAAGAATTTATTTAAGTCATGCTACACCTGTCGAGTATTAACTTGAGCATACTCAAGTTTGCTTTTCTTTGAAATGATTCTTGAAACGTATCGAACATGGAAAAGTCATTATTGACTCAAACAGAGTATTCAGATTTCACCAGGGGGTATTGAGTCCATAATGAGAAATCTAACACATAAGACAATCTCACCAGAGTCCCAACTCAAGCTGAGTCTAAGTCTAAGATTGGCCGTGGCTTGAAATTACGAGAGTCCATGGCTGTGGCTGCATCCACTTCCCATAGGTTGGTGTGAAATTTCAAGCCGCAGCCAGGCCATTCGGACATGGCATCAGCCAGAGTTGTGATGTGAGAGTGCTCAGGGTGGTGCAGATTTCTTTTTTACCTTTCTGAGGTCCCCGGTCAACTTTGTGCAGTCCACGTTGGGCATCAGTGCCATGGCGATTCTTGCCTGGTACTCAGTACTGTCATCCATGGAGTGGGACCGGCTAAGGGGTCGTGCTCGCGGAGACTGACAGGAATTAAAACGGGGAAATAGTTTAGGAAAAACTTGATATGACGAACTCACACTCATTAATGATTAACCCCCTGAAGATGGATCCTCTATGCAAAATGTAACATGAAACTTACACGATTTCCACAATTTGGGAAAACTTGGGAATTGTAGTTCAATGTAAGGTAATGTTTGGTGTTGAATTCTTTAAATTAATGCAATATTTTGAAAGATTAGGAATGATACTGTCACTGAGGAAGGCTATTGTAAACCGACCTTATTCGTTTGTATCGTTTCTTTGCCGACATCCGAGGTGTTAGCAATAGAGCAGCTCCGGTATCTTTTGCTCTGTACTGGGCTGGGCGTGTCCCGGGGTCTGTCTGGCCGCTTCAAGTATGCCCCGCGCCTCAGCACGGGCTGGCTGGGAACCTTGAAGATCCCCCGTCGACACTTGGGCCCCGGGGTGTCGGCCAGGGCATTGCAGTCTAGGTGGGGTTGGGGCTGGTCCAATGGAAGACTGGTGCCGGTGGGCGTGGGGGTAGGGGGTGAGGTGGTCAGCAGGGGGGCATTCATGAGGGAGCTCAGACCCTCTGAGATGCCCGAGTCGGGAGGCTGAGAATTATCAAAAGTAAAATTGGGAGGAGGGTATCGAGAGCTTTAAAATGTATTCAGTGAAATAAAATTTGAAATTTGAGACCCGCTCAAGGAAAAGGGGATCTAAGTCGCACTATGCCTTTCCATGCAACGGCCCTATCGAAGTTGAAAGAGTAAAAATTCTTGTAGAATTTCAATTTTCGGTTTTTGTCACAAATAACAATCTTTGATTTACTAAAGTTTCAAGCTGTAGGAAGAAAAATGGTTGCTAGGAAAACTTAAGGTGAGTCTTCTGTAGTGGAACTTTCTCAAAGCCTGTTTTCTCAGCTGTGTTAAGTTGAACCCTGTAAAGCTACCTGATATGAAAAAAAATGTTGTCTCCTGAATAACAAAGGTTTTTGAGCTCTGCCATGTACCAAATGGAAAATTATACTGTGGGCTTGTCAGCCATACTCAAGCTTCATTTTCATGACATACTATATGGTTTCTTTAGAGCACGTCACAAATAGCAAATGGATTATATATTACTTTCATATTTGCATATATGCATCTTTGCCGAGGGCAGAGATCGAAAACAAATATGGCAGTAGATTATAAACCTTATACAGCAGGCCATAGCTTCTAATCCCAATCTTTAGGTTCATGACACAAACCAGTATCATTGGATACTTGAGGGGTGAATATTCAGTGATTTATGAGACAACATTTGTGATTGGCTCACTTGATTGGCATCTCCAGCGAAGATGTCTGTGAAGCCGTCCTCTTCATCGTCGTCGTTACTGCTAGCCAGACGACAGTGCTGGAGCTTGACCGGAGAATTTATGATTGTCATCTGTGGTCTGGATGACTGGTCAAGCTGCAAATGGGAAACAATTGACTGCCCAAGCAATTCATCTCGGGTAATCTTTTACACTTGGTTTGCAGCAGGCATTACGAGGCATTTTCGCAAGCATGCAAGTTGACGAGTTACAGTTGAACCAAAGTCACATTTGAAAAGTTGATCTGAGAACAGGACATGTGTTGTTTAAGAATCAAGTTTCATTAATCAGTAACATTTCTAAAATGGAAGGATAACATAGAAACTGGTAACCAACCAATCAAAATAGGCCTGTGAGTCACATGTTAACAAACTGACCAATGGGAGCTCTTTCCACACATTCAAGGTGGTTCTTACCAAGGCCGCTGGAGCAGAGATGGGTCTGTCCTTGCCAGAGGCATCTGATGTGCCCGACTCAATGAAGGATATCTGCCGCGGTCTTCCGGATTGATAAGTAGCAATTTGATTCTGTAATGTGAAAAAAGGAACAATGAGAAACCCTTGATGAGATGCCACAAGAGTAGTTCTCTTGTCCAACAATGCCAGGAAGAATTCTCGCTTTCAGGAAAATGCTCTGGCCACCAACACTAGAAAGAATTTAGTTTTATCAAGAAAATGTGAGACTCGGAATAATTGCATTGTAAATCCCAGGTCAGATTTCCGAGTGGTTCTCTGTTTAACTAACCTGTATATTTATGTTCTCTTTATCATTGCACGCTTCCCACATGATTGTTTTGGACCGATTCCGCTGCCCCTCTGCCCCCTCTGGCTCGGTTGCTAGGCAACCAGACCCTCCCTCATCATTCTTGAGCTCTTTGGACAACGAAAACACTGGTGGCTGCGGAATGGCCTGACAACTTGGTTTGGAATTGACTCGTCGGAATGCACTAGGTCCTCTGCCAGAGAAGAAAATGTAACAATATTTGAGGGGAGAAAATTCCCTCTACCAGGAATGAAAACAAACAAAATTTAAATTTATATGAAATGAGAGTGACTGACATCACATTCTTCCTTTGACACAATTACAGAAATGTAATATCAGCTCGTTAAGTATATTAATTGTGGCATAATTATTGCTAAGGATTTATACATAAGAAATCAACCTTGCTCAGTAACGATTAATTACTCACAAATTCCGTTGATAAATTTCGAAATAAAATTTTGCTTGGTTGAGAGTAATTCTGAGACACATAGTGGTGAGGCACATGTCCATGAGGAATTCCCACTGCATCCTGCTTGTGTGTGCGACACGTGCTGAAGTCAGGCACGAGGGCCTCAACATGCCAGAGTTTATGCTAATGAGGTGGGTTTCTGGTCAGATGTTGGGCTTGGCACTGAATTACAGCACCAACAAAGGGACCAGCTGTTGCCACGACAAAAGAAGCTTTGTCAGAGGAAAAGACTTTTTAAATGACAGGCGTCGGAGGGGAGGGTTTATTATCAAATCAATAAAGGCTAGCCAGGTGGGGTTTCCGACTAAGATATCCCCCAGGAAATGCAAACAAAGGCTTGGTGACTTACTGGTCCAGGAATGGGGAATCTTCCTCATCAGCAGGCGAGTCTAGATAGAAGACTGAAATAAAGGCACAAGCGCAAGCTTCAGTCATTACGAGTTATGCTTTGTCACAAAATATATTTCAAGCTCATTTCAGATTATTTTTGAATTAATAAAGTGTACTATCTTGAAGTCAGGATGCAATATAAAAAAGGAATCACAACTAGACCTCAAATTGGAAACAACATAAGATGATAAGGAGAGACTGTAGTGGGCAGTTTACTTGGGAAATTTGGAATAATTTCCAGTGAGCTTGGCTCCTTGGTTGTTACGTCACAAAGACCGAATGTCCAAAAAAGAGGAACATCCGACAACACCGACAATGGAACGTAAGTTCCACATGGTGTCCAACTTTGCTGTACTTTGAATGATACAAAGGGCAGACCAGGGAACATAGCGGGGGTTTTTACTGACCAACACTCTCGGAGCTCTGTGATGATTCTCTTGAGCTGGCCGGTGTGTCCCCAGTACTGGACAAAGACAGTCGCCTCTTGGGAGTGTTGCCAACGCTGTGATAAGATGAATGACAAAAACTGCATTTTGAAGGACGACGGACAAAGTAAAACACTGCTGAGGCATTCCACAATCTGTGACAATGGTTTATAACTCTCAACATGCTCCAAGCGACTTCGTAATTGCCACGATGCTGAAGCAACAGTAAAATATGCAACACAAGAGGAGGCGTAACCCCTCGTCTTACCAACTCAATTCGCCCATGTTGATTGACAGCGATGTCATGGGAGAGACTCCGCCCATCTTGGGGAAAATCGGCGAGAAAGGGGCTTCCTCCTTCTGGGCCAGAAGCAGCGACAGACTCCGCCTCTTCCGATGAAGCATCTCTTTAGTCTTGTCGGCGGCCATAGTTGCGGTGGCTTCTTGCCCCTGATGGCTGCCTCTAGCCACCGAGTTTTTCTGACTCAGACTTTTCTCAGAAGACTGACAGGTTTTTGAGGTAAAGTTTTGTGAGTGGCTTCCAAACACTAGGCTTATGTGTGGCTGGGCAACGCGCAGACTTTCTCACCATTGGCTCTTCTTTCATTCATCCAAACAGGCCATGCGATGCACACAGAACTTGAACAAGGCTGAACCAAGAAGAAACGTGGGAAACATATTACGATATTGTACTATTCAGTCAACAACGACAGCCAACAATTTCCTATTTGATGCTGAACAGAATAAACTAGCCAAACAAAACATCAAAAGCAGCTGTGCGTAATTTAGAGTAGTACTTTTTCACATTCACGAATGTGTGACAACCTAGTACCAGGCCTTTTAGAACTTCCTTCAGGCAAGCATTTTATATTTACAAAAGAACCAGGCATGGTTAGATGGTAGAACACTGTCTTCTCTCTAGTTTTTACATTTTTGGGTGGGCTAGCTTGCGTAATGTCTGTGCAACAGTTCCAGCGGCATGGCACCACTTCCAGAAACGGCAAGGCACAACCCACTGACATCGACTATTTGTGCACAAAGGATTGACTGTGCCTAGCACTGCTGTGGCATGATAGGTCCATCATTCCTTCTGCTGCCGTTCTTTTCTGTTTTCCACGTCGTTGAGTTTAATTACCACCAGAATTGTGGGGTGCGACGTCTGTTCTGCTCAACTCGTTGGACCCCACAGTTCTGGGTATTCCACATTAACTGTCATCAGTCATGTCTGAGTCATGACACTTGACAATTTTTGCAAACGAAGCAAAGCCAAAAAAGTTTTAAAATTCCTCAACACCATGACCATGCATACAACGATCCACAAAAAGCACCATTATGGATGATGGAGGAAGGACATGAAGGAACACGTGTAACGTTCCTTCCTCTATGGATATGTTTCGATCGACCAATCGTGCACAGACCGATTGCATCCAAAACACCACCAAACCTTGCATTGTGGTATGTATTGTAGCAGAATCACGAGAGTTTTGTGGACAGAGGAAAAGAACCGACATGACTGGTCAGTTGGGTACAATGAAAAATGTGGCATCACTTTCGCCTCGCGCCTAGCTAGGCCCTATCTTTGCTAAGCCGTGACTCTCGTGTGAGTTGATAGGCCTACTTTCAACACAGCGTTCAGAAACAAATTTCAGATAAAACAGCTACTTACATATCACACTTTACATATGAGCACTAAAAATGTGAAAACCACAACCACAAGATCCACCAACCATCGACAATTCAAAGGGATTTTCGCAGCAAGCAATTCAGAATTACCGCTTCCTCAGCTTCTTTGAAGTTTGAACCAAAACAAAATGCCTTATGTTTGTACTATGGAATTATGGGGGAGGTTCAGTAGTACAAATCTTTATTAAGAATCTTTTCTTCAAAATATTTCTATATATTGCTACAAGCGAGAGACAATCCCACAAAAAATTGAAGATGTTAATACTGTTCTATATCTTTCGAGAACTGACCTCTTTTTTGAAAAAAAAAGAGGAAAAAAACTCTTAAATCTTCCCTATAAGTAAAATGGCATAGACCGACACCAGCTGATTAGTAGAATGGTACTTTTATGCTACGTGCGATTGACTATGCACTTACTCAGGGGCTCCGACAGCATTCTCTATTTGTTCTTTCGATTTGTTGCGATAAGGTCTTCCAAACCTACAAGTACATCATATTTGACTGTATATTTGAAATCGGCCACGCAAAAAGTGATTTTGAGATCCCAAAACCATACATTTACTTGGAAAGATGTAGACAAATCCAGGACTGGGAAAAGAAAACGCAACTCAAGATATCAAGTCTTTGTTTAATAAATATGAATATTCATCAGATACCGCCAAAGCTATTAAACGCTCATGCGCAGAACTAGGGTGCTCCTTGTAAATTTCGCGCGAAATCTAAAATAACATTGTCCCCGTTTTTGTGGTGCTCGCAAGAGGCATTTCGTTCCTCCCCGTCCCCCTTCTATTCCATAATTTTAGCTTTATTTATTGCACTTCATTTCTCGAAAATTGTAGAATATGGCCTCCGTAAAAAGTAGAAACCACAGAGGCAGAAAAGATGAAGATCATGACTTTCGGAACTGGCGATCGCCTCATCACAAATCGAGTGTAGCAGATCATTCTCGTTACGGCGGCGGCAGAAGAGACCAAAAGTCAAACCAAGACATGTCGCGAGAACATGGCGGTATAGACAGAAATGGCAGCCACAGAACAAGATATCGACATGACAGAGAAAGGTAATTTTAGTGTCAAGGAATACTGATCAATAATATTATTTAAGGTGGGCTTTGCCTGATTCGGCCCTACATCATGACATAAGCATTGTTATAAAGCTTTAGCATGCAAATGATGCATTGAAACTGATTGACATGACTGACGGATCTCGCAAAACGTAACTAATAATACTAGGCCCTAACATGCCTAAACATGGTATTATTAAACTCAGTTAATTTCAGCCCCCCCAAAAGTCCCCAAATATTTCGCATGTCAAATTCAACACCCAATTATTCTAATGATAGGCCTAGTTGCACTAATCATAAATCTGTCATGTCAGTGGGACCCTACAGCCTAACTGAAGATTTAGATGAAACAAGAATTTTACCCCTTTTTGGTCAATAAATTGATAAATTGAGTAACTGATATTGGAGGTGGAAGGGGTTGCTCATTCCAACCGCAGATGACTTTGCAGCGCATAGTTTCGTACAGGCTAGGCCTCCCTGGACAGCTACTTTTTAAATGTAAGCCGTCGGCTGAGAAGTTTCAACATGTTCACATGGTTCTAGTTAAAGTGCATGTACTAGTGATGATGTATTTCATTTGACTTTTTCATTTTCAGCAAACATCATCGTTGGTCGAGTGACAGACGGGTTGAACTGCGGAGCAGAAAGCCTGATGTTTTCAGCAGCGTCGAGTTTCCTCCCCTCGGGGCAAAGGAAACTCCTAGCACTAGTAGTAACACATGGTATGAACATCTCCAATGTTTTCATTGGAGAAAATCTCAATAAGAATTTCGCTTTGCAAACTAACGTAAGCTTTTAACTGGTTGCTTTATAGAAGTTAAATAGAAGTTAAACAATCGCATTAGTATTACTGTGTTTGTTTTTATTTCATCAACAATTGTGAGTCTTTTTCGTGTATCATTTCATTTGTGTACCCGTTTATTCTCATGAAATTTCTTTGTTCTCCTAGGTACACACCAGACCCTGTCAGATTGACCAGCCAACGTCACAGCAGCTCATCCAGCACGGATTGGGCCACACAGATCGAACAATTTGAGAAGGACAAGGAGCGGGCACTGCGGGACATGATGCGCTACAAGCGACGACTGCTCATGTCCGAGTCCAGCGACGGCAGCAACGAGGATCAGGAGAACCTGTAAGTGTCAAAGGTCATCGCAAAGAACCAGCCATCTTATAGTTGGCCCCTATCGGTGCAAACTTGTTAAAATGATCTTTGGTTCTATTTTAGACATCTTTTTTTTTAAAGTCATCTGTGAGCTCAGTTGCCAAGAACTTATCCGAAACAAATTCTGTTTAAGGACTTCCACTTTTCTTATGATGGAAAATCAAACTTTGGAAGTCCGAAAAGCTAGCACTCTGCAGATTAAATTTGAATTGCTGAATGTTCAAGCTTCATGTTAGTGACTTCTGACCTGATATTAAGAGCTTTAAAAAATGTTCTTACACAGAAAGATCAACACGAATGCTGAGCCGAAGAAGGAGTATGAGACCGACGAAACTGTCATCATTCGCCGCCAAAAGCAGATCGACCTGGGCAAGAACACTCTTGGTTATGACAACTATTTACGACTAGTTCCAAAGTGAGTTGGTTTTGTTTTAATACACAGGATGCATGACATTTTTCACCATTAAGTTGGCCAGACATTTTGAGTTTGGATGGCCCCTGACTTCTAGGCATGCAACTTTAATTACTGATGTTAGAGTTGCCAAAACGGTAACTTGGGGGCTGAATCTCCGAATCTGGCAAGGCCTTAATAGACTTAATGTACATTTAGAACTTTCCTCCCTAAATTCTCAGATATAAGCGAGTGAAGAACAAGCACATTTCGACTCCCAACAAGTTCCAGAAATGCAGCCGACGAGCCTGGGATGGACTGATAAAACTGTGGCGCCGAAAACTCCACGAGTACGACCCTGAGGGCACCTACAAACCTGAGAGAGTTGCTAGGTGGGTTTGGACAGAACAGAGTCCAAATTTGGCAAATATCAGTTCCGAGTTCAAGAAAATGAAAATTTAAATATCGGTAAAGATTGAAAACACCAACTTAAGTCTTCATTCCATTTCCATTTCTTGTGTGGTATGTAAAAATCAACCTCCAGCAATTCTAGCACGACAAACAAAACAATTCAAATTTACTCAAATTGCAACATATGGTGAGGTTTCTTGGAAGTTCTTTGTGGATATCTAACTCCAACGTTGGAGTTTGTCTCCTGTAATTTCAGGGCTATGAATTTGCTTCAAAATCTCGAGGAAATCTTAGTGATCATTTACGGAATGAGTATCTTCTCATTTTCTGGTTTTTCTTTTTTTTTCTTTCTTGCAGGAAGGAACTGCATTTCTCTGACTCCACCTCTGAAACACCCTCCGAAGCTTCCTCAGAGCAAGACCCAACGATGGATGTTGAGCTCAACAGCTCCGTATCATCTGCCATCAGTGACTACCTGGCCAGTAACGAGAGCAGTCGCCCCGACACCCCCGACAACGCCAGCCGGCCCGAAACACCGACGACTGAGCTGAAGGGTCTGACGGTCAGCGATCAGATGAACGGCAACTACCGGACAGAAGATCTGGCGATAAGTAAGGTCATCTCGCAGAGCACAGATGCCGCTACCCCAAATGCAACGCAGACCCCTAGCGTGACCCCGGCTGACCACGAAGTTGAAGGTCAGGGCCTCATCCACACGATGCAGGTCAACCCAAGCGACCTCATCGCTGCTCTGCGCCAAGCCGCGGGGGCAGCTCAACCTCTAACCCAGCTGACCATCAACCCTCACATGTACATTCCCCCACAGCAGACCTCTAACCTCAAGTCCCACTCCATTGCCGATGTGCCCATCCATTCATTCCACTGTTCCCATGACGACAATGCCAACAGAAAGTTGCAAGAAGGGGGAAGGAAGGAAGGGGATATTTTCGACCATTTCGATCTAGACGAGTGCTTCATGAAGGACAGCGACGTTATTGCATAGGGCATTGGTGAGTTCAGTGAACTAAAACCGATCGAGCGCTCTACCCTGCTCGGTCTTTTTGTTTTTGCCAGTGGCCAGAACGGAGGAGAAATACCTCCACAATACTCATGGTCATACAGTCAAAAAGGCCACGGGAAGTGCTTACTTTACTTCTCACAGAACGCCATTTCGATACAAACCTGTGTTGTGACTTACCTCAAGTAGTAGGTAACTGTGACTGGCTGCTTGTTGAAGACCATGGCCTGTGGACTTACAGTACTACATAATTGGGAACATTTCACAGACTTTTCTGCTTTGGGCTAAAACTTAACTTTACATCTACACAAAAACAAATGCTTTGAATATCACATTTCATAATTTTTAAATGACTGAAAGTTTTAACAAGAAGAGATTTGAAGTTTTTTAAATAATTTTTTATCCACAACAAATGTGGCTCATTAAACTTTTTAATTTTGTTTTTTTTTTAATCAGTAGTTCTGAAAAAACTAGTTTACGAAGTTGGTACAACTAATATATTTTGGATAATCGTACCCTTTGGGTTGATCTTTGCATGTTTGGAAAAATGTACAGTTTTGGGTCTAGTTTATCTCTTTACCACAGATCAAATATTTCCGTTGTAACATTTGATATTCTGTGTTCTTGTAACTTCATTAGCATTGAAACTTTAGCATGTGTACTTGTAGCTGAATGAAAGGTCTAAAGATTTCTGTTACGTCCAAAGAGGATTTCGAGAGATTTGAGGCAGGGGCCATGCTTGGATTTTATTTTATTTTAAATTTTACATGTACCGTAAAAAAAATTTCTTAACACCATCATGACCAGTTACAATGGGCCCGCTGGTATGTTTGCTTACTTATCAGACAGTGTTGAAGTGTATTTATTTCGAGATAAAGGTGTAAAAAAAAACAGCATGGGTAAATAGGAGATCAAAACAGAAGCGTTCAGTACCTTTGACATCCTGGGTCAGAGGTCACACCTCAAACTCAACAACTTAGATATCATGCAATGAGTTCTTACGGTGGACCAAGTACTAAAAAGTCCTAATGAGGAAAAATAACTTCACAATCAAAAGCTAACGGTACAAAAACTTGGACACGTAGATGTGAAGACACCAAAATGTAAATACTGAAGAAAAATTCCAGAAATCTTTTAAAAACCATTGTACAGTTTACCACCCATCTGTCCTGCTATTTATCTTCTGAATGCCAAACTTAAGTTTTTTCAACGTATTCCCCCCCCCAAATTAATGTTGTAAGATTCAAACACTTTTAAAGTTGTAAACTGCTCTTTCAAAAAATAACAGCCTTTCACTTAAATAATTTAACAAAGTTGATAATTTACATGTATATCCAGTGATAAGGAGGGCACAGCTGCGATGACTATCCCTATAAAAAGCATTTCTTTTCATGATTTTATTTTCCATGATTTACATGAGCGTTAGATGGAAAATTAAGAGATGTACAAATTGTGGTTTCTAAAAACAATGTTACATCAGACTAGGTTCTTTCTTGCTGTTAGTGTTTGTAAAAAAAAAAAAGACGATTAAATTAAGAGCTAAAATTCGTGTGATATTTCCTCAGCTGTCATTTGCCATTACTGATGCCCTGCAGTGGCATGAAATGTCCTCCTTAAAACTCCTGAAGTGAACACCTGTAAAAAATGAGCAACCCCAGATACGCCCCCCCCCCGACAGAAGTTTTACCTCGACATGATACTTTGATGAGCGTTCTCTTGCTCTGGACGATTAAAACCAACGTCTGCCCATGGTGACTACTTCCACCAAAAAGTTACTAGTGTCCTTCAAATCCATCCCCTGAAAAACCAGCTAACCTGCCAGGTAGCAGGTGGAAAAAAGAGCAGGCCACAAATTTAATCACATTTACAAATAAATGTACATGTTGCCTCGTATTTCACTCTGCCCGCTGCCTGCTTTGCACTTGATAATTCTCCCGAGAGAATTCAGCGTTTGCATAAAATGCACAAGAAATACAAAATGTCCAACGAATATCAGCACTTGCCTATTCATTTCATTCACGTTCCGCTGTAGTACTGTCAGCTAATCAGAGAGAAAAAATATATATACACTGAAATTGAAGGCTTAAATTTGGACGCCTGTTGAACACGTTTCCCCCTTTACTAATACTCATAAAATTTTTAGCAATGGTAGAAATCGTAAAACTCAACCTTGACATTTTTTTCAGCTGCAAGGAGCACACGTTAAAAGCAAAGATAGGAGCGATAAAAATACTCTCTTACAACTCTCTTACAAGTGTGGTGAAAACTACGAATGACAGCTCGTTATACGCTACCCATGACCGCAAGGAATGAGGGATACATGTTGGCAGCGTTCCTTGTCCGAGTAATAAAAATCCGGACAGAAAGGATACCTACTTTAAAAAGCAGAAACAAAACACTTTTATGTCATCTAGAAAGACGACAAGCATCGTCGGTCACGGCTGCTGTCATGCCAACTCAGTGGGAACATATCCAGGTGTCACTTGCGACTCCCAGCGCGTCCCATCATGCTCGGGAGGATGGGAGGAGGGCAGCAGGGTGTGTCGCCAAAAAGACCTGATAAGAAGACGAGGGCAAATTTCTTTATCGAGCAAAATATTGCGTCTCTCCGACAGAAAGCTGCTTCTAAAATTCTGCTCCAGTTTTATACTGGCTAGCAATGTACATTCAAGGGAAAAAAAAAACAAACATAAATGCCATCCTTCAACGAGTTCTCTGAGAAAAGAGCGCCCGTGAAGAATATGCATAAGATAAGGTCGAATCTTACCTGCCACCATACAATCCAAGTAGCTTTCGCCAATTCTCTTTTACACCAAAATTGTATGGATTCCTATAAATCTGTTAAAAAAACAAAAAGTGTTCAAAACAGCATCCACTGAGGGTCATGCAGAAACAAAGACATTTCACAAGAATTGTGGCCAAGACAACTTCAAACAAATGTGCAGAAGTCTGAAACTACCTGGCGAGAAGACGACTCAATATGACAGACTGGCTGACTGAACAGAAGTTAACAGACAACACTGATTCCTGAGCCCCACCACAGTGACCCCATTCTCGACGACAAAGCCAACCCCTCCCGTCAACTCACCACGTTGACTTTTTTCAATCGCGCCCGCTCCGAGTCGTTGATGTGCTTCTCGATGCTGGTCTCTCCTCGGCAGATCAACCGCACGTGCCAGGTGGTCAGCACGCCCAGGGCTATGAGCACGCTGAAGCAAACGATGAACTGGAAGACTACGGCCTTGTGGTAGGCAGACTCGGAGTTGGACAACGAGGACACTCGCTCCAGCAAGGCATCTGTCTTGTTTTGTTTCTAAGGGAAGGAATTCACAAAGAGTAAAAGTTGTTTTTCTTCTTCAGTTTAATCGGTTGATGAAAAGGACAACTCACACGGACCATCTATGGCTCTACTGTAAAACTGGAAACAAAAATGCGTTGTAAGCTGGGAATATCAACATCAAGAGAAAAAGAAAACTAGATTCAAACTCACGGCAATATTGTAGGAGTGCAGCATAGTAAAGAACAGAGACCCGGCTAGAAGGCTATCAAATGTTTTCTGTAACAAAAACAGGGCGTGTACATTATAAGTCGTGGCAGGACCAAACATAAATCGGCATTTAATGAGGGAATAAAAATGTGCTTAGCCGGTCTTAAACGTGCGTTTAAGATTGGCTCAGGAGAATGGCCATGAGTAATGACTGAGCCCCAGGCGAGGGCACGTCTCCTGAGCTGGTCTCAAATGTTAGTTTAAGACCGGCCAAGCACATATTTAATTCCATTCATAAATACCTTTTTTTAGTCAGAGAGTCATAAAAAGTCAATATATGATGGATTTCCAATGATTTTGTTCTAGAATTTTACTTCCATTTTTCAGAACACCCCTGCCGATTAAATTTATGATGGATTTCCAATGATTCTGTTCTAGAATTTTACTTTCATTTTTCAGAACACCCCTGCCGATTGTATGGTATATTAATTGTGCAAGTTGTCAAAAAAAAATCCAGATTCTTGACCAATCTGAATCGATTAGACTGTCTTGTTTCCAGGTGCCAGTGAGTGATTTACGCAGTGAGTGATTTATGCAGTGAGTGATTTACGCAGTGAGTGATTTACGCAGTGAGTGATTGACGCAGTGAGTGATTTACGCAGTGAGTGATTTACGCAGTGAGTGATTTACGCAGTGAGTGTTTTACGCATTGAGTGTTTTCTCTTCTCAGCAGGCATTATCAAATGCTAACACATGTTCAAGATGTATGTTGTTGAATTGAGAAACAGTCTGTGTTATTTATGAATAAGCTCTATAATTGATCAAAGAAATGGCTAAGTTAAAGCACCATGTTTAAGCTGGAAACAACGCGGCGACTGTGAATCAATACACTTGTCACATTCTTGACCTCAACGGACCACTTAGGACCGAGGACACACAATACTAAACCCCACGGCACATCTGAGTAAAACACGGGGCCACTGCACAGAGCTGGTTGCCGGTTTCAAGACAGTAAGCTCTGCAGGTCTTTGGAGTTCTCCGTGGCAATCCTTAATACCTGAGCATCAAAGAATTCCTCCCTAAAAAGTGGCCAAGCCGAGACGCAGATATAGAGTGTTCCCACCCACATGTAGATACAGAACATTATGAAGTAACGGTAGTTGTAATGACCCACGCAATTATTTATCCAAGCTGTTAGAAGTGTGTTAAAGGAAGCAAAGACTTTCTGGGGGGACAAGCTGGCAGGGCATTTAGGAAATTTCAACTGTTTCGTCTCAACCCTGAAAGCTTCAACAATCAGGCTTGGGGTTAGGGACTGTTAGGGTCAGAAAGATAACAAATGATTGCAAAATGATCTCTGAAGTGCCAGCCTGAGATCGTGGTGACTTTGACAAATTATGACGACAATAATTCCAAAAATATGACAGGGTAAAGAAAACTTAGTTTGAAGACCGACCTAAGCCTCACTTTCTTGGCTGATGATAACCAGGACCAAACTTGAGAATCTACGTGTCTACTCATTCACTATAGAGGGTTTGCACGGCTGCCATCTTGCCGGCCGGTGCTTTTGTTTCACAGGGTCTGCACAAAGGAGGTTTTGCTGTCGAACAAAAAAAAGAACTGCCCTGCAAGATGGCTACCATGCAAAGCCTCTGCAGATGATTCAAAGGATACGGCAGTGATGGTCCATCTTCAAGATGCACTTGTTACATATACTGCAGTGGTGTGTTCGCGGAGGCTTGGGGGCGATACACTTTTTGCATATCGTTGCCACGCCAGTATCCGACACGATCTGAAAACGGGAACAAGCAGGACGACACAAGAGCTCACACATCGCTCTGAATTCTGACAAGACCCCCAAAAAATGAGTTGCCTCTTTGAGGGAGCCACTCGAGTTGAAGGCCTTCAGAAAATAATATCTTGTACAAAGTGAACCTGCAACACTATGAACTCACAAAAGTGTCTTTTTTTGTTCGGACGCCAACCTTAGTGATGCATCGAAACACTCTATCTTCCATGGCTCTTTCCGATGATAAATGAACAAAAATACTGGAAACACACTCTCCTGAAGAAGAACAGAGCATACTGTTCGGAACGTAGAGTGTTCACCATCGGTTCTTCTCAGAGGCACACATTAATAGAAGAGATTTCTCCTTGTACATAGTGCAAACGCAAGCCTTACCTAATTTAAACACAATATGCAGTCGCAGAAAAATTATCACTAGTAACAAATGTCCAACGGCAGCTCCAGAACCCAATTTTCGGTGTGTACAAACCTTTAGGGGGAGGAGTGGGGAAAGTTTGAAATCTTATGTAACTTTTACAGCCTTTCCGAGGGGTGAGCCAACATTTACTTTCACGAGCATTTTGAAGGAAGAGAAATGAAACAGACCACAAAAAGAATTGCCTTTCGCTTGTTTTTCCAAAACAATTTTGTGCTCTTTGTCGGCGGTGGGGCCTTGGCCCATGTTGGCCCTCATGATTCACCCACGTGTACACTTGGCACCTCTCTCAAGTCTGCGCGAGGGCCTTGATAGTGATCTGGAGTTAGTACCTGAGGAGGGTAGCCTGGGGGCGTCCTCACGCCTTTGTAGTAATGGAAGATGATGTTCACGAGCAGCCAGTGGCCGAAGGTCAGGTGAAAGGCCAGCTGGAGGTAGGTTTCTTGCGCCAAGCAGCGTGGCAGGATGCAGATGTAGACCACGCTGACCACGGTGGAAGTTAGGATGATGACGAGGATCACCATCAGCTGTAGAGAAAAGGGGAGACAGGGGCGCTAAGACGGCAACTATGTGCTGACGTGTTCACCCAGAATGCCCAAACCGACTTTCTACGCCCTCTTACTTCTGTACACTGGCTGCATGATAGATTATCAAGATTATCAACAACTTCCAAACTTAGCTGCAGATTATCTGCCATTTCCTCGTTCCTCACACTGTTTCCTATTTGTGTGGGTCAATATGGGAGGCCAAACTTTTGAGAAATTCACCCATGGCTAAAGATGCACAACGACTGGCACTTTTAAAGAGGAAAGTAGCTCCATCTAGCTTTTAGTAAAAGATTATTGATACTTGTCAGTCGTAATTTGACAGCAAGGTGAAATGCTTTAAACACTTTGTGAATTATTGTTTGCTTCTGTATCCAACGGCCAATCACAGGTTGTCAACCAACGGCGGGCAAAACTGCGACTTTGAAGTAGCAAGAGAGATCTAGAACGGAAAACTCTACCAATCCATTCATATTATCTAAAGGCTTATGTACTGATTTTGTATGATTACATCATCCTTTGCGCTATCCTACGGAAGCAGTGCAGGCCTACAGTCTACTGGGCACCACAGGAAAGTACACAAGTAAACAAAGTGTGGTGTCACTGGCACAGATCGATGAATTCGGTAACCAAGAGAACAACGTGACGCGTACAGGTCCCATGTATCTTGTGACGTGGTTGACCAGCCAGAAGGCTGGCTCCATACAGGTGTCCACCACCGTCCCGCTGTTGGTGAAGTAGTTATAGGTCAGGCTTCGCAGGCAAAACTTCACGTATCGGTACTGGTCGCACAGGCGAGAGCAAACGGTGCGTCGCCGGCGTGTCTTGTCCCTGTCATAGTCCATCTCGCAGCTCGTGCTTCCTGCTGAAGTTGTTGGGATGGCGAGTGTCAAGTCTGTTGCACCTTTCATGAGTTGCTCATCATCCGCGGTGGTAGGAAAAGCTAAAGTACGGGGGAAAAAAGGAATGGAAAATAAATGCCTACCGAGTACATACATCTGCAGGTCGTTTCCTTTGTCCACACGAAAGGACTGTTCCCAATTATTTTTTCATAAAATATATTATAAATAAATGCAAACATGAACTACTTTATCAATTGTTCATAACAAATTACCTAACAACTTTGAACTGATGTTTTTCCAAATTTTTTAACCCACAGTCCCAACAAACGAACATCATTAATTAACATAATTAAAAACACGGGCATTATTGATGGGGAAAAACATGCATGACATAAGCCTTATCGCAAATACTGCATGGGTAATTTTGCACAATGGTAGAAAGGCATTGTGGGAAGGAAAAAGGCTCATTTTTCATTCCCACAATGCCTTTCTACTATTGTGCAAAATCACCCATGCTGCATGCAATAAAAAGGCTTATGAAAAAGTGCTATCAATAAGGGCAGGAATTATTGCATTCTCTCCCATTTCCCTTGGCTCTGTTGGCTACTGTTGATTGCCCTCGTCGTCCTCTGTGGCTTGACTTTTGACAGAACCTTTATTAAATATGGTAAACACGTGTCAAAACGACCATGGACACATGTACCCCCAGAACGGTGGGGTCCGACGTCCGCTTTTCTCCCATGAGGAGCGGACGTCGGACCCCGGGGGTAGGGCACATGACATGATGGGATGGAAGGAGTTCCATTGTCTCGAGCGCACGTGTATTGAAAAAACATGCCTAATCACGTTACCTATGTCCAATCTCCAACTCTCTCTATAAAAACATACAGGACAAGTATGGAATAATCCATTTGGTTTCAAAGAATACTCACTTGTCTTTTGAAAAGAATCGAAAATAATCAACTCAGGCAATACAGGGGCTTGGCTTGTTCAAGACGAGAGCACGGCACACAGGTGTAGCGCCCTCAAGCGGGTTGTTGCGTCCAATTCAACATTTTTCGGGAGAAAGAGTTTCCCCGGTAATATTTCGACCAAAATGTTCCAAAAATCGAAGCCAATTCACATGAAAGGTACAGCCTCACTGCTGTACAACAATTTGACGGTTCTAAGCAGTCCGGAAAAGAACATGACGACGTATGCTGTGGTGCACAAATCCGTGATTTGTATGGCGAGCTGTGCCAGCGATAATAATTCCAATGTCAGCCACAAGCAAGTGACCTGCAGGGACCCGTCTCCGACGCCGCAGAGCACCATGATTCTGCAGGTAAAAAACACTCGCATTCGTCAACTAGGCCTAACTCTAGTTTATTTGTCTGAATGTTATGTTTTCTGGAATTGTGGAAATGAAGTAGGTTCAGCCAGGTGTCTTCGTTGTTTTCAGTTTTTGAGAATTGAGTTTGAGATGAGAATTGAACATGGGCGGTGAAAAAAACATGATAGTGATCAGTCATCCATGAATCGAATGATGATGGTTACTAAGGCAATGATATGGATTTTTTTTGCTAAAGCTGCCTTTGGCTGGTTACATTAGCTTCCTGTTGAAATGAAATAAATTGACATGATTAATAAGATACTGACCTCCATACTCTTGGTTTTGGCATTCCTCCATCCGTGGTTTTTGTGGACATTGTGATTTTTTGGGGGGAGGCGGTGATGTGAATTTCAGTGATGGCGAGCTAGATGGTGCACGGTGTCAGCTGAGAGAATTTGGGTAAATGGTAGCTTGTTGTGCTATTGACTAACTTTTGTATAAACTTTGTCATTTTTTGGATACAGGCTAAGTTTTGTCAATTACCGTCTCGGACGTTGCTGGTGCTGTGCTACCAAAGGGGAATACAGGTACTGGAGAGAGAGAGAGACCCACACCCACGAACCCTTCTAATCCCCTCCTACATTTTTGGAGGAATTTATTGAATTTTTCTATCCCATCTCATCAAAAAAGGAATGAAGACATAAGTACTTTGCAGCGATTTTAGTATAAAGAGTGACTTATAAAAATTCTGTGATTTGAATTTCTAAAATTTCTAATTTTCTTCTTTGGCACATGAAGTGCATGTCAATTCACGGAAACACTTGTTGATTCACGGAAACACTTGTTGATTTACGGAAACACTTGTTGATTCATGGAAACACATGTTGATGTACACACCATCTAAGAACTTTCATTTTCCTGTTTTGACATCATTCAGATATTTGAGGCGGACGGTTCTGCCCTTGTTTTCTGGCACGCGCTTGTCCACATTGATCCAAGCGTTGGTGAGTAAAGACATCTGGACATTTTTCCAGATAGAGATTATTGGCAGTGGTCTATTTCCCATCAGTCCCAGCCAGTGGAGTGTCGACTTGTGAACAGCGATCTCGATTTTATTTTTTCTGTGCATCTGTAGGAATGGCATTTGCAAGGGGAATAGCGGCAGTTCATGACAGTTACATTGCAGTAGGTAAGCAGTGGGTTTGACGTGCGCCCTCACTGGCAAGGATGAGCCAGACGGGGGTAGAGGGAAGTTTTTCACCGATGTAAGATATAGTTGTAGTGTTTTCTCAACATGCCACCAGCAGGGTTAATGACCCAGGAAACTTGCTAACAGATCCTTGTTTTTTTCCCAACAACAAAGCTGTTTTGGTTATATCGGCAGGTACGTCCACAGCTCAAATTCTAGTCTTCAACATCCCGGTCGTGGAACCAACGTGACTTTGTCGGAGTCCCTGACGGGCCATCCATACGCCATCAGTGCATTGGCTGGGGACGGTGCCATCATGGCCTCGGCCGACGACTCTGGGTGTATCATGGTGTGGCAAGCAGGTCAGAGCTTCAAGAGGGTCTGCCGAATTAATGGTGGCGGGTAGGTTCAATTCAACCGAGGTGGTTATCAGTGTAAAAAGAACAAAGGAAAGTTTATCTGGTTCCCTTGGCGTAAAACTGTCGAGGGTGCTTCTGGTCAGTTGTGGCGAGATGCTTGTTCATTGTAGGTTATTCCCCAGTTGATGACAGTACCTCAGTGGAGAGAGGCAGATGAGGGTAAAATGGCCTGCTTGAGGACACAACACAATATGGCCCGCAGCTAGGCTGGAGCTACTGACCCTCTGATTTTGGAGTACAAACCCTAAGCCAGACACGCGGAGGAAACCAGAGATAAAGTACAGGCCTAATGAGCCATGTTGTTTTTTGGGTGGGGAGGGGATTGTAGGGGTGTGGCATCAGATGGGGCGGGGGTGGGCGGGAACTTTTGATGAAGCTTTACTGCCTCGAGACGTCTGTCCAGGATCTATGATGTTCCTGACGCGAACCTTTCCTTCTCTTTGCAGGGTGACTTGTTCCTCGGTGTGCTTGTACGACGGCTTAGTGATCGGGGGTTTTGGGTCGGGTCACATCAGGGTGTTTGATGCCATGAAGGGGACAATAGTGTCAGAGATCTGCGCCCACGCCAAGTGGATCCACGCCATTGACATAGCACCCACTGCTGGCCTGGTGAGATAATCTTCCTTGAGACCAATGTCACATGGAGTGTAGACGCCCGTGAAATCTGGCCCCCTTTTCCTTATGTTGCATGTCAACTTCATCGTTGGCATATTAGTTGACACAATCCTGTCTTTTGCATTACTGTAAGTTGATCTTCACAGACTCCAACTGATTGCAGTGGTACTCAAGTGTGGATATTGGCTTGCACAGCGTGTTTAGGGATAGCAAGCCCTTGGTGTTAAAAACTTGTGTTTTTCTAACGTCAAGCCATCCCAAGAGAGTTGGGAAATTTGTATACTCTCCATCAATTGTCAATCAGTGATGGCATTTCTCTTGATCACGTTTATGACAAATTCAGGTCTGTCTGGTTTTTTTTTCTCCCCGTCAGCTGCTGTCAACATCCGAGGATACCTTCGTGAGGGTGTGGTCAATCTCCAAAGATGGCGACGTGACTCAGGTATGTTGGCAGCAATGCATCCCTAATTATCACTTGACATCATTTGTAGTGGAGACGGTCAAATGATTTCCCTTTTTTCAGGTTGTGCTTATGCTATTTTTTTAACAAGTGGTAAAATGACCTTGCCCGACACATTAAAAAATTTGATGTTGAACCTCTGCCACATGAAGTAACATTTTAAGTTCTTGAGCGAGTGTTACTTTTCCCTGTTTGACTGGTAATGGGTGACTATGATCGTGACAACTTTGTCAGTGCTTTGTGCTGTGTTATGCTTTCAGATCCAACTGATGTTCAGCGAAAGTGTGACCGACACCCAGCTGACGGGGGCTCAGTTCACCAGCAAGAGTGGGCGCGGCTTCACCCTGTCCGGCTACGACCTGAACGAAGTGGTCTGCTACAACCAGAAGGCGTGACGGACAGATCGCTCCACATCATTGGCCAGCAAGTGCAGAGTGCAAGCTGGGGGGGACAGTGCAACAGTGGACCAATGACGTTGGTTCTTCAGTCAGTGTCCCAACCTGTGATGTATTGTGCCTTATGTGTCAAACTTCTCTTCGGGCGGACGCACTGTTAAACGCACTCGTGAAATTAGCTCTTGTGGGGTGCAGGTTGATAGTATGCAAAGCGTGTACATGCATTACCTAGACCCTAATTTATTAATTGGCTCAAAATGTTTAGTTGGGTCAAAAACCAGTCACCTCGTAGGACAAACAGCTGTTGATGTTGCAAGAGTATTCTAGTTTTAAACAGAACTATTTATATTGTATATTTTGAACTTGTGGCAGTGCTGTTGTATATTTCTGTTCAATATGTCAAATGAAATTCGCAAACCAAACTATTCCACCGTACAAAACATTAGGAGGCAGTCCATACGTTTATTTTCCTATCTGATTTCTAAAGATGCAACAAAAGATAATTCACTGAAAGGCTGGAAACCTGAAATTTCAAGTAATCCTGTTAAAAACCAACCGAGAGCAATTTTTACTCAACTGTGGCAACCTTTCTGTGCGCTCACCACTAGTGTTCAGTGTCAAGTGAATGTATTCTAGATTTATAGCTATAACGAGGGAACAAACTGGTTTTGTTCAAAGGACTGATAGCTCTTGAGTTTAAGAGCCTGGGGTAAAGCTCCGTTATGTGATGTGTCCTCCAGAGTAGATTTGAACATGGATTGGATTTGAATGTATTTCAGGCGTATCTGTTATAGATCCCGGACACCAAGTACACTAGCGATGAGACAACACCTAGTTCCGAGTGTACGTTCTTTGGAACAGGGCGAAGCTCCTTTCCTTCATCCGTGTCATAAACAGAAAAGCACGACGGAAATAAATGTGGTGGTGTAACTCCACAATCACCGCGTTCTTGTCTGTGGTGATAGCCGATACACAATGCTTGTATACCACACTCTCTCAACGTCACTCAGTTGGTTTAAGTCTACAGGTCACTTTGTCTATCCTTATCTCCAAATTAATCTTGACTTACAATTTCATAAATTCGTAACACAACAAAAGTTTCTTTTACAAATAGGAAACCAAAATGTTAAACACAAACATTATCAACGGCAAATTATAGTCAGTCCTTAACCATTTACCTCCCGACAGATCCCAAACGCCGTGGTCCGTGTGCCTCTAAATGCTGCCTAGAATGCGGTGAACTATCCAAGGAATGTTGCATTACCAAACAACGAAAACAGACCGGTCTAACATGACTTGAACCTTATTTACATTGTCCATTTAAAAAAAAATTCCACCTACGGTTTCCCTTTCCCCACATAATTATGTACACTGATCAAAGAGCAACAATTTCTTTATCACTAGGGCACGGCATTACGTCAAGCATTATTCTTACCAAGTCTTCCTTTGTAGTGCCTTCAACAATATTTTTAATGACCTTGTACATTTCTTTGCTTCGCTCCTTGTTCATTACAAGACCAAATGGTTAGATTCTCACAAAGTGTGGGACAGAATATGAAAATCAGCTCACCCGATTAATGTTTTTATCATTTGAACATGCAAGAAATTTATCTTTTAACTTGGTTTATACAAAAATAACGGATGCTAGAACTGACTTGGAAACAAAGTAGTCCGACGCTAAAGAAACCCACTTGTTTTTAGTGCGCGGATTAGCGCTACGTCCCCATCCTGGCGCCACAATCAACCAAGTTCCCAGCATGACAGATCTGGACGTGAACCTTGTCTGCACTGCCGCTCAATCTGCGACTCGGCCAATCCACTTGCCGGCCTACTCGTCGTCTGAGCTGTCCTCGTCGCTCTCCTCGCTGCTGGAGTCCCGGGCCTCCCGGACCTCGATGCCAAACTTGTACTCCTGGTCGCAGCCCATGTAGGAGTCGCTCATGAAGTAGATGGTGTAGTTGTGGAGGCCCGGGGAGGGGGCCACAAAGTCCAGCTTGACCTTGGCCTTGTGCTGCAGGGTCAGCCGCTTGATGGAGATCAGGCTGTTGGTCTTGGTGTCGCCAATCACCACCCACCAGCCCTCCTCGCGTTTCTGGATGAAAAAAAGCAACAACAAAAAACACAAAAATGGAGAGAAAAGAACTTGTTTTTAAAACCTTGCAGTATGTGCCAGAAAACCTGGCATAGCACATTCAACAGTCCTGACCTTCTTGTAACCAAAACCTTTTGATAAAATGACCGGGAAAAATTCAACAGACCTGGGGCTCCAGAATCTGCTATTTACAAGAATGTACTTGGGAGAGCTCTCTGAAAAATCCACAGAATTTCAAATTTATCCCTACACCAAAATCCCCCCTCCTCGGCTGAACGACGGAGATAAGGTTGAAATTACTTCAAGCTGAAGTGTTAAAGTTTGCGGTTTGCTGGCAGACACTTTTATTCAAATTTAATGTTCAACTAAGTCAACAAGCTAAGCTATTAATGAGTCTTTTTTTTTTACAAGACACAAGGGTGACAGGGAACACCTTGTAACAAGATTCTTCTGAGACGATATTCAAAAACGGACAAACCTGTGGGAAAAAGGGGGCCACGACTGGTCCAGTGACTTCATCTTCTCTTTCCAGAATGACATTGACAACCACAGGGGAGCCACTGAGTGAGGAAGGAAAACAGACAAACAGGTCTTATCAAGTTCAGTATCCTTAAGTACAGACTGCGAGACATTTAGTATCCCGCTAACAGCGGCAATGTCTCACTTAACCCTCCTTTGGTTTTACAGCACAAAGATGCACAAGTGCCCACGGTCACTCTCTTGCATGTTGGTGCAGTGCACAACACAACACAGCTGTGCTTCTCTGAGGTGTTTACCAAGTGACCCAAAGAGTGACTTCAACATAGGAGGGTTAAACACTTATTAAACTTGGTTTTAGGCATTCAAAAAGAAATATGAAACCAAAAACTGTGTTTCTTACATCATTAAACATTTTCATGGAAATTGCCACCTTGATGGAAAGGTCTTAGGTAGGACTAAATCAGGTTGCGCTTTCTGTCAATGTTGTTACTGACCTTCAGTCAGTAAAAGACAACTTCAAAAATTTCAATGACTGCTCCGAAATGCATCTGTGACTCAACCCCAAAAAATGAGTCATGCAGTCAGTTTTTCAGTACCTTTGATTTTTAAAAATGTGTTCTCTGTTTTGATCTTTCGATCAGTTCGCCATCCCGGGGAAAATGGGCACTGAGTTGGTGAGAATGTTGAAGGTTCTCTCTGATACAGATTGTGCCAGATTCTATAAAGTTAAAATAGTTCCCGCCTCTTCCAATTCTTCTCGTTAGGTACGGTTATAGTTTTAGTTTCTACCTTTCCAGACTGTCCTTTTCTTGCACCTCGTAGGTGAGCTCGATGTTGGGGTAGCGATTACAGAACCTGGCCACGTCGGCCATCTGGGCATCAGCCAGCACGAGAAGCTCGTTGCGATCGTCGTCGTCCATCTCCATGATGTCGAAGATGCTCTCGACACCCTGAAAAAAAAACCCCAAAAATGAACAGCAAAATGAAAAATGCAAAACTATGCAGCGTGATCCAGGAATGCAGATTAATTCTGAAGAGCCTGGGACAGTCTTAAACAGCCTTTTCTTCACAGATACAACTTTGCCAAACATTTTGTGGTGATGCAGTTCGCGTGTAACCACTGGACCAAATATACTTGATATCCCACATAAAAAATAAAAAGGAAATATCTGTGAAATCAAGTAGGGAGAACATTTGGTCTTCAAGCTTGCCACCCAACAAAATGAGACCAAAATACGAGCCTCTGTGAGAATCTTGCACAGTGTACACAAATAGATACCCTCAACTTTTTTCACCCACATGACGACCATATTCATTAGGATGCCACTCAGAGTAAATCATGCACATTACAACGAGGAATTCAAGTGTCTCCTACTGCTGAAAACTATAAAGAAAGCTGATGAAAATGCTGAAAAAAAAATTACTTGATGACTAATTTTTAGGGCTTCGGTGACATGCAATTGTTCTGGTGTACCTGTGTTACTAATAAGACTGTTGCTTATGATTGTATAAATGCTGACATAAAACTTTTCATCAATAATCATTCAGACCACCTGCAAAAAACTCCATCCAAATCCCCCCCCCCAGAAAATCAACAAACTACAAAACACGATGCAAGGCACAAAATTCACCCACACCAAATTCGTAGCTTTGCACGCTCTAAAAAAACAGAGCTGAGGTTGAGAGGTGTGTGAAAGAGAAAAGATTCGCCGTACCTTCTCCGTGCATTTCTTGATGAGGTCCGAGGAGAAGTGGGGCAGCTGCTTGAGGTAGGAGTCCTTGTTCCACATGGCCTGGGTGACCATCTGAGCCAGCTCCATGGCGGCCAGGGCAGGGGACAGCCAGCCGTTGCTGGACAGGACGTCCACGCAGGCTTGGATCAGCCTCAAGGCCTGAGGGGGAAGACAGGGTCAGAGGTGTTGGTAATGCACTTTTAATCAGGGGTGGGGCCTGGGAATCCCACAGGGGGATTGGAACAAATTAAGACTATTTCTTTTTCAAGGCCTCAAGAGCTGGAAGAGGAACTTTCTCATCTACAGGGGGAATGATTGTGCAACTTTGAAGCATATTTTGGGAAGGAATACAAGAGACGCAGTTAGACATGGATCATTTCACCTCCAGAAATACCGAACTGTGGGTCCAAAAATGTGGAAAAATCCTGACAAAAATCCCACCGCTGGGTAATGCTACCCAGAAAAGCCTCCGAAAAGGATGCCTCTTTCACTCCAATTTCCCTTTCTGTGTAAAGACAGGCTACCATCCCAATGAAAGATGTGCTTGACAAGCACACTTCCACAAATTATTAAATTTCATTCTATTTGTTTCTCAAATTAGGTTTCCCCCTTTTAATGTAACTTTTAATGGTCAGATGATGTCAGCACAAGTCCATCAGTTTTTAACAGGCAGGCATGCTTTATAAAAATCCATCCATACATTAAGCCAAGCTTCCATGACTTTTGGTGGAGCAATCTTAGAGAAAAATTTGAGGAGCTCTTTTGACTTGCAAGACTTACTTTGCCCAGGATGTCCTCAGTGTCCGATTGAAGCTCGGCCGACAGCTGCATCCGTCCGAGGTGGGCCTGGATCAGCAGGTTGGTCTTGACGTGGGGGTCGTTGAAACGAGCATTGGCCAACTTGTTGGGAACCCGGCTCGACAACTGAAACGGCAAAGAAAAACCGCTGGCAAGATGTTTGCAATCATTCCGTCACTGTGCACCTGACCTAGGTGTCCGAATAAGGAGCTCCAAGCAAAACACTTGGGTTGGTGACTGTTTAAACTTGTCACAGTGGTGACACGGGATCTGTAATGCTGTTAGAGGATGGCAGTGGGGTACCTTGCAAACCCCAGCACCGAAGGCTTGTCAGCATTCCTTGATCTACCTTCATTCATACATCCACTGTGTACTGATCAATACAGAGATGCCAAGATAGAAGGAGCGATAACAGACGGTGAGACAGGGGGGGTGGGGACTGCTCATACATCCACTCTGAACTGATACAACACACGTGCTGAGATCAGAGGGGTGATACGTGGGGTAACACACCTAGTGAGACACGGGTAGCCAAACTGAATGACAGATGAGAAAACTGGATGGCACGCAGTTTGCAATCATTCCCTCGACTTCCGTAAACGTGGATGACATGATTAAACAAGAGATGGAAAACTGAATTTCAAAAACTTGTAGTGCCTCCTTTTACAGAAAAGAGGAACATCGCTGGCGAAGTATGATGACACACTGAGAAACCAGCATTGTTGAAACATGAGCCCAGAAGCGCAAAGTTAGTCGACTCAATCCACCCACCTGCTTCATGACGGAATCCTCGTGGTGTCGGATGGGGATCTGCTCGTACTCGGCGGCCGAGGCAATGATCTCAATCAACCCCTTGATCTTGGTGCGGTTGTTGAGCGACATGCTGAAGAGCTCGATGGTGGTGTAGTTGATGTAGTAGTAGGCGGCGATCATGCCCAGGTTGAGCGGCGAGATGTCCATCTGGTCCTCGATGCTGACGCACTTGGACTGCTCCAGGTCCTGCAGGGTGTTCTCCACCAGCTCCGAGAGGTGGTCCGACAAGTGGCGATGGGTCACGCCTGATGGCGACGCACACATGAAAAAAACACATCAGACATCAAACCAAAATCACATCAAAAAATCATCAAAAACACATCAAACCTTATGCTTGAGTTGGCCGTATTGAAATTAAAACAAAGTTAAGTTTTCATTTTTTTTTAACTTGAGCGCATCGGTGAAGGAAAGACATCAAATTTCTCGACAACTTATTGCTTGTGTACTCCGAATGAGTTTAAATCTTGCAGAAAACATATAACATATAAGTACATGTTATCACAAATTTCAAGGGCCACAGAGGACACCCAAGGGTCTGCACATTGGCTGAGGCTGTTGAAGGCTAACATTACTTTAACTGGACGGAAAATGGTAGAAATCGACACATTCATACCTTGCAAGTTGTAGTAATTCGGGTTCTGTGTCATGCGTCGGTAGAGGAACGTCCAGGTCAGGTAGTCCACCGCGTCCTGCTTGTTCTCAATTGTCTTGGTCACCACCTCTGCGTTGAAATGGTCGTGGAGGCAGTGATCCAGATGAGACTGAAAAAAAAAACCACCCAAAAATCAAAGCCACGTAAATGAAACACTCCCTTTCAACTGCTAGCAGAGAAAGTCAAGATAATGTACTGGCCACTTGGTACAGCACATTTTAAGTGTGCCTTAAAGTTGAATTCCTTAGTACTCGCCTTGCAGACGACAAGGACGTGAAGTAAAGTTATACAGGTGATATATCTCTTGATCTGAACCAAAAAAAAAACTGTGCTAGTCCAAGACCCACATCCGTTCATCTGAACAGAAAACGGAACAGGCAGAATGAAAATATGGATTACTGGAAACCTCTTACCTCCACCGGCAACGGCTCGTACAAGAACTTCTTGTAGAAGTCTTTCTTGGAACCTTGGCACAGGATGACGCACTTGCCGACTGCCAAAAAGATGCATGAGAAAAACAAGACAAATTGATCCTAACCAATTTCAAAAGCGAATAGCAGACAACAGGTGTCGACTATAAGGGCTGGCCCTGATTGGCATGGTGCTGGGCGTGTACAGAGGTCGACAGAAAAAGTGTTGCGTCATTGTAATGCCCGATGACTGCACTGCCCGTTAAAAATTCTTTGGCTGTGGAACTCTGGGAAGACAGGTATGATCCCAAGACGGACCAACAGACTGGCAGGCAGACACCCAACAGACCAACAAACAGCATCAGAGGTTTCTCTCATCACAATTCAGGATTACGTCCCTTGAGAAACTTTTGCTCATCACGTGCAAGACACAACCAAGAAATGGATTGTTTTAGCATCCTTTCTAAAAAGATAATCAACATATATATGAAGACCTTAGGATGGTTGGCAACAGGGCAGTTGGATGACAAGAAATGAGTTACCTTCTTGGTCTATATCCGGTCTGTTAGCGCGTCCAACCATTTGTAAGACATCAGTCACTGGGTAGTCGACATAGCTACGTAACAAAAAGAAATGAACAAAGAATTTAATTCACACTGTGTGCATGAATTCTATTATAAGCAAACTGCAGTCTGAGTTCCTAGCAGATTAAACCAAAATTGGGTTAAAACTGAGTAACCTTTTCTTCTAATTAAAAAACTTATTCACAAAAAGTTAGAAATCAACATCACCACTTACAGTCCCGCAACCCCTACTGCAAGAAATCTGTCAGAATAAGCATGCTTTAAATGGGCATTTAAGCCTACAACGTCCACAGAGTAATATCTAGGATCTCAACATTAAAAAAAATTTGCAAAAACACTCGGTGACTTACGCGTGGATCTTCCCATTGTAATACTGCGTGTCCATGACGACCACCAGGTGGGCGGGGAAGGTCATGCCCCAGCACATGTTGCGAGCGGCGACGACGATCTGGACGGCCCCGGAGGTGTAGAGCTGCTCCACGACCTTCTTCTCCAGCTCGGACAGGCCCTCGTGGAGGTAGGCTATGCCGTTCTCCAGCATCTCGCACAGCGTCTGCCGACAAAGAAACAAGGGGGGGGGGAACAAGAAGGAATCAGTCGGGTGCTTCACTAGTACTCCGGTGTAGCAGTGAAGTACTTTAAATGTGCTTAGCAGTTTGACAAACTTATCGTAAGCACTATTGCTTACTGCTGAACAAACTTGCAGGAAACAGTGGTCCTTATCTTGAGGTCTCCTTGATTCAGTTTCAGTCTCTGTACCTTTCTTCAACTATCCTGAAAAATGCTACGGAGCTTTACAGATTACGAAGTTGCAGCTGGCAGGTCATTTCTGGAATGCCAGCTCCGACCCGTCTTCGGGTCTTACCTCGTCGTTGACCTTGCTGATGTGGCCGGCCAGGTCCTCCTTGGGCACGTGCAGAAAGCGGCTCTCCTCCGTGTCCTCGGCTGAGGAGTAGGTCAGCAGGTCGATGGCCGTTAGCTTGGTCTGCTTGCGGGAGGGCACGAAGACGATGACCGGCTTGTTGGGGGAGTACTTCAGGATGGCGTTGTAGGTGGGTTTCACCATGGCGATCAGGCGCGACGCCGTGTGGGTGATGTTGAAGCCCTGCGGAGTGAAACACAGGAGAGAATTCAAGACAGATCAGACTAGCACGGCCCGTCTGGTGACACGACGCGATACTGTCATTCACGGTGCATTAACAAAAGGTCCCCATCACGCAATACTTATTATAACCTGTTCCACTCATCAGGGAATACATACAGCTGCCTAAAAACAATCATCCACAATTAAGGACTTCCAGGAAAGTAACTACCTTTATTTGTTCTTACAAAAATAAATTTATGTCTAAATCTGGTCATGCTTTTCTTGAATCATTCCTAATAAAGATATGTTTACCTTTAATAGTTTGTATTTCTATAATCTAAGTTCGCTGTACTACATTGTATGACATTTCTGGTTATTCAAATTCAGCCTTGAGGTTGAGAGATCAGCTTCTGTAATTGATGAGAAATTACGACAAAATTCCAAGAGGAAGCTGATATTCGTCTTGACCTGTATGTGCAGTTCCAGCGGTACCGGTCGGACGTTGGGATGGAAGTTGAAGGTGTTGGTGGTGCTGGCCCCCAGCCACTGGGCGATGTCCTTGGCGTTGGCCAGGGACGAGCTGAGGGCCAGGATGCGGATGTTGCGCTCGATCTGCGAGGAGATGTATCGCATCCGGGAGCAGATGACTTCCAGCACCGGCTGCAAGACAAAAAGAGATCGAGATGCTCAATCATCATTGTAAGTCTGTGAGAAAATGCGAAAACGCTGCGGGGATTTCAACTGATGACAGTCTGATCACGAGCACCAACATCCAACCTGTCGACATCCGGTGCCGGTTTGTTAAAGCACATATTTGCTGACGTAGACACAGGTTGCCAGCCAGAAAATAATGCAATGTTTACCACATGTGACTGGTTCCCTGCAAATTTTTGCTTAGCAGATAAATGCGTCATCAAGCGAGTTTCAATAACAACTTTATGAGATGGGCTCCGGAGGCTTGAAGGGAGAGAGTTCCAAACCTTCCAAATTTTCATGCCAATTGTTGACGCTCAATGTTCTGACACAGGTCCAAATATTCTTAAGTGTAATCACCGAGCCATTTTGCATAGTTTACCCAGAATTCCTAATAATTCATTCAGGCCACAATTGGAGTGTAATATTCCAAACTTTTGGAGGGTAAGATGTTTTACAATGAAGGTCGGGTGTTCGTGCGACCACCATAGTTCAGCACATTTCCACCAATATCACTTTAAAGATGGATGGTTGGACTGTCTACCCGACCATTTCAGAACCAGGCCCTGGGGCATGCTAGCATCGCTGGTTACCAACATCCTTTTTGGAGTTAAGCACAGAGCAAACTATTGGTCTGAAAGTAACTGGACGTGAAGGCAGAGACTGTGAAAGCAGGGAGAGCGGCAACCAAAGTCAAACCGTGACGACGGGATTTTTTGTAAAACAGATTTAAGAGTCGTCGCTCGACATTTTATCCCGAGAACGAAGAGCAGTGAACTCACGCCGTTGTCCCCGCCGATCAGCTGCAGTTCGTCCACGACGAAGAGGTTGACATTCTGGACGTTCTTGCGCTGCTTCCATCGCCGCGACAGCACGTCCCACTTCTCCGGGGTGCTGATGACGATGTTGCCCTTGGCCAGCAGCTTCAGGTCGGTGCTGGTCTCCCCCGTCAGCAGGACGACCTTCTTCCCCAGCTGCATCTGGAACTTGGCGTACCACTCCGTGTAGACCTGTGAGGGGGGGGGGAATAAAGCACACGCTCAAATCTTTGATGTCAAGGCTTTGCTCATGATCAAACAAATCACTGGTCTACTGGTAAAAATGACGCTTCTTCGTTTCTTTGCCCTGCTGGATTGGAAACCCTGACCGTATAATTGGGAGTAACAAACTGCAACAGCTAGGTTATACATCCCCTATAACATCCCCGTTAACACGGGAACATTTGATGGCAGAAACGTTTGCAGGACTTAATTTGCCGTAGCTGAAATGAAGCCAAATTACATTATGTCCACGCCAGGGCAACTTTCTGCTGACATCAACTCTTCACTGACTAATGTAAGACAGACCTAGGCCTCAAGGAAAATCTTGACACATATACGTCAGTTATTTTCCTCCCCTGAAATGCGTAAAACGGGCATGAATCGACAAGCACAGGACGAGTTTTTGGTGTGTCCGCCAACAGAGTTCACGAAGATTACAGTTCTAATCGCCGTGCTCTTTAATTGGCATTGTACTGTACCTCCCACTAATGAACAGTCTGGAAACGGACTCCCCACACTGCTGGTAAGTCAAGGAGGATTCAACCATGCTAAGTCTGTTTTGATCACTACGCTAAAGACCACCGTTGCAAAACAGAAGCTGCGGTCCCTTGAATAGATATACATTTAAAAATCACACTAACTGAATAATTTAGATTACAAAACAGATGTAGCTATGGAAATTATGACATTTTCTACAAATCAATTTGCAAATGAGACGAGAGTGGATCACCTGTTCAGCCAATGCCTCCAGGGGAGTGACGAAGACGCACCTTCCCTCAGGTGCCTGGGTCAGCATACGCAGGATAGCAAACTCAGCGATGATGGTCTTGCCGCTACCTGTGGGCGCTCCTACAAAGACGTTCTCGTCCATGTTGTATACAGCGTTGAAAACTGTAAGATGACAAACAGGAGAAGATTCTCTTTCAAAGTTTACCGCTTTGCACTGCCGAAACATGTCACCCTCTGCATGCTGACTACTATAAGTGGCACAACGGTTCTGACTAAGAGTGAATAAAGTACAATTTGAAAAACTATTAAACCGAAATCATTCTTCTGCAGAGAATTACGATGTGGGTACCCAATTTTCCTAAAAACTGTGCAAGTTCTGCCAAGTAATCACTTTTCTTCGAATTTTTATCATTATCAATTTAGTAATTTGTGTTGCATCAGCGATTACAAAAATACCATCTGTAAATCAGTTTAGAACTGTCATTTAAACAACTCTTCACGACGAGGATGAACATATGTAACACAAAGACAGCTCTATTAAAAAAAGAAATTAAAGTCTTGGAAGAATTACTTATTCCATTCTGGTCGTGTGCTGATGAAATCATTTCCAAACTGCCAACCTACCTTGGGTCTGGATGGGGTTGAAGACGGAGAACTTGCTGCTGTAGAGGGCTTCAAAGGAGGGGTTCCTCAAAGCTGAGACGGGCAGGGCCTGAAGGTCAAGGAGCTCTGTAGGGGGGAGGTTCTTCTCGGGCAGGATCAGGTGCCGGAAGGATACCGGGAGCTGTGTCTCAGAGGCTAGGTCGGGGGGGGGGGAACGGTATACCAGATCATTTATTTGACACTCAATAAGCTGGGAGGGGAGAGTCTTCCCCGGAAGTTTCTTCCAAACATTGCATTTTTTGTAGCATGCCAAGTGTTGTGTAGTTTCCCCACAGATAACTTGTGGCTATTTTGACGTCATTTTTAATGAAAATCTGACAAACCCGTCTCGTGAAATGTTTTTCTCCAAAACGGGTAGGTCAAAAAGGTTGACTTCTCCCACTGACGAAAGCTGACTGGCACGATGCATGTGAGTTTGATGACCCATCAAAACCAAACCCTACACATTGTTACATTTAAACGTCACAGAATGCAACGGATGTCTTCAATATGCAAACTAAGCTTTCAAAAAATTGGCCGAGTCAAGTTCTGGGCTGGGAGCTCAAACTACCCTGCCCCTGCTGGAGGTGAAGAACTAATTTCTCTTCTAGGTTTGACTTGTAACTCGAGGAAGTTGTTCCACAAGAGAGCGTTTAAACCATCAATTATAATAATAATAATAATAACACATTTCTTATATAGCGCATCACATAGCACATCTCGATGCGCTTCACAGTAATATTAGGAAATAAAGCAATTAATGAAACAGGTGAGTTTTAAGTGGTGACTTAAATTCGTTTTCATTTTTGACAGTTCTGATATGGTGTGGGAGAGAGTTCCACAGCGATGGTGATGCATACTTAAATGAACGATATCCATAAGTCTTAGTGCGAGTGACAGGTGTACTGAGCAGCAATGTTGAACTAGAACGAAAGAAAGAAAATTATTTCCAAAGTGGTACGGCAGCATTTACCAGGATCATGGTAGCATGTCTGCCAACAGAGTTCATGAATGCTACTGATTCAACCAGCATGCTCTTTCATTGGCTTGTTTCTTTTCCCTCCGATTGTTACGCAGGCTGGCTACGAGAGAACCAGTCCTCAAGTAAATTAAAGGAGGCATGTCAAGCGATAACAAGCGATAAGGTTGAAGCCTGTCCCATGTTGTCCCCAGCCTAAACAAAAATATTACAGGAAATGAGCGAATAAGAACGAAAACGAAGAAAGGAAAGGAGACTTACCGATCCATCTGTCGGAGACAAGACGGATGAAGTATTGCGGAGGGAGGGGTTCAAAGACTGGAACGAAGAACTTGACAATGTGCTCATCCTCTGCAAACTTGCTGTTGAATTGGAAAGTTGAAAATGCATCTTGAATTGTAAAAGTCATTTCTGAAGGTAAAATTCGGTTCATACATGACTGACTGGTAAATGGTGAGGCAGCTGTACCAGCTACTATGGGTTTTGAGTAAACTTCTTTCTTTCTACTTCAAAGAATTAAGTTTGTTTTGTAGATTATTTGAAAACTTCTCAAGATAAACGGAAACACGATTGAGAACAGGCTGTTCATAGTGAAGTGTATGCCAACATTGCGAAAACGAGGAGAACATTTGTCATGACGACTGCGAAAACTTAAAAAGTCACTGCTGTGATGGAAATTTTTAGAGCAGAGCAAGACTGAGCCGTTATTTTCAAGATGCAAATGACAAAACAAATGGACAAGTACCTCTTGAGCAAGAAGTACTCGTGATGCAGGATGATTTCGCTGTCCACGTCTTCCACGAGGATCCAAAATGCCTGCAGAGAAAAGTTGGAGCAAGGAGTTCATTTGTTCCAAGTGGCTAACAGTACAAGCCTATGGGTAGTGACTCATAGCCGCTAACCGGCCGCTTCCATAGACATGTGCATTATTCCTAGCCGTAGCCGTAACTTTTGGACCCGATGGTGTGCTTGAGGCATGAGTGTCGGTAAGCTGAGTACACAGACACCATGCAGAGGTGCATGTGGTCTTTTGGCCGATCATTTCATGTGCCTCCAATTATTACGCAGTCCGGCTACTGACCTGAGCCAGGCTGAGGTAAGCATATGGAGGGTGACTTCACGATTTCTTTGTCCGTTCCTTATCCAATCCGAATAACTGATCTCCAAGACCAGGTAAAAAACAAAGCTTATGAGCAAAAGGAGTTGAAAATGAAAAATATGACTCTTTTTCCATGCCTCAGCCCTGTAGAATAATTCAGTCAAGATGTTTTTCTTGATCAGGAGAAAAGAAGATAATGAATATCGAACTCTGATCACTGCGGAATAATCTGAAGTGTTTCTTATAAAGACAGCTGCAAGGCTCTCTAATCAAACCAATTAAACTCGTCAAACTATTAAAACTAAACATACACTACTACATCGTAAGCAGGGCTGTGAACATGCTCGAACAAGGTTTGGCAACAGTTTCTGGCATTACAGAAGTTTATCATCACAATTGGTGGCCACGTTATGTCTAAACGTTTGGAGGAGAAACCCAAAATCAGGGAAATGGAGGGAAGTCTACAGTCCTGCATATAATAAAAGAGAAATAAACAATGCTCCCAGTGGGAGAATTTTCAGATGCTTGATAGCGGCACAACAAAATGCGAGATCTGTATGACTGATCCACTGTTGTTAGCGTCAAGTTTGAGCTGATCTTCACTAAGATGCGAACTAATTTGGCATGGTCAATCGGACTGCCATGCCTGCTTCCATCAAGCATTTTGAAAGTCTCAAATTTAAAGTGCTGAGCTGAAAAACAAGGGTCTTTCTGAAACGTAAATGCCCCTCTCAAAGAGTACAGATTTCTCTTCTTTTCTTTTCTTTTACCTCGGAGTTGCCGTGGATCTTCTCGTCCCACTGGAAGTCGGGCGTGACGGTCAGCTCCACCCGCAGGGTGCTGCGGGTGATGGGCTGGATGTGGGTGGCCAACTCCAGCTTGGGGAACTGGTGGACGTACTTGTGCAGCGTCTTGCCCAGCTTGGGCAGTCGGATCAGCTCGCCGATCTCGTTGGGGCCCAGGTCGTAGAAGCGCTCCCAGGGGAAGCTCTTCTTCTCGATCTTGCGCACCACCTCCTCCGGGATCTTGCGGAACTGCCGCAGGGGGTTCATGGACTGCCACCTGTCCAGGGAGAGAGAAGGGGACGGTGACGTCATCCATTAGATTTCGACACAAAGCTGGCCATGACAGGCCATGTCATGCCAAAAGGTTCCATGCTGGGGGGGGGAGTGATCAAGGGAAAAAGACTGCTCCATGTACTTACATGCGCTTGTCTATCATCTTGGCCAAGGAAAGCGTTTTGTCTGTGAGTTGGGCCCATCCTCGGTGAAGAACAATCTCGAAGATGGCACGAATCAGCCGCCCAGCAGACTGCCAAACAGAACAAAAGAGACACCCGTGGGCGCCAACTTTAACATGCGACCTTCTCCTCTTGACATAATGTCGGTACTTTGCCAGCATTCAAGCCTTTTGAGTCCTGTGAGAAATCATTTGAGTCCCTCGAGAAAAGAGACATCAGAGCAAGGAGTCTGAAGTCCAGCATCAGAGGTTTCTCTCATCAGGGTTCAGAATTACGTCCCATGAGAAACTTTCACTCATCACATGCGAGTTAAAGCCGAACCAACAATACTTCTCTGAGCAAGACATTCTTCAATGCGAAACAATACAATATGAAATTGACGACTGACTTCAACTTGCCTCGGGGCTTTTCTTCTAACATAAGATAAAAACTTTGTTGTCCCACCTGGGGAAATTCCTGCGGCGTTTTTGACAGAAAAATACACGACAGTATTACATTTACAGTAAATTTAATAAAATTCGACAGAACCAATAAAAGTGTTATTACTATACAAATAAACATCAAAATAAATACAGTAGACCAACAAAAACCACCACAACTTTACAAGTTGGCGTTAAACATTCTAATAGCCGAGGGAACAAAAGAATTACTGTATAGCGTTGGGCGCGAATTCTTCGCTGTATGAGCCGGCCTTCTCAAGCTATTCTTGACAAAGTCTGGATTTAGAGGGTGGGAATTATCGGATAAAATACTCATAATCATACTGCACAATTGAGACGAACAGAGTGCCTCTATACTCTGTTGGCACATACCAGTGATTTCTGCCTGTTTGATTCACCCGACTAAATTTGGCAACTGAGAGATTCTGACAGTGCATACGATTTCAAGTTAACCTTTTTTCTTTACCTGCGTGATGTAAACCATGTCTGACACCAGGGCAAACCCATCTAGCTTGAGCTGTGAGATGTACGCTTGAAGAAGCACATTGACCTGTGACGCAGAATGAAATCACAAAGACATCAGCTCTGAGCACAAACCGTACGCAACGGCAAGTAACATCGCAACGAACCAAGGAGGGCTGACTTTATTCACCTGTCACTTACTTTCCACTTAAAACCTTGATACAGCTATCCCAAAAGAAAGGATACTGATCTCAAAAGTTGTTGAAATTGGGAAAACCAAGATGCTACGATCCTAACACTGTCAGAGAGCTCACCTTGGCACTGGGCTCTTCGATGCTCTCCTTGATGGGTATGGGCACTCTCTCCAACAGCTTGGTCAATTCCAACTTCTCCTCCTGATGTCAAATGACGTTGGAAACAGTCATGTCTTACAAATCTACTACTGCTCTGCTATTTCCAAATTTAATATCATTTCCCGAAATAAATATGACAAAGAATCTAATTTCTTGAGATGAACAGACACTTCAGCAAAACGAAATTTTGAACCGTGGGTAAGTGGAAGAAATGAGAACAAACACTGACTGCAAAAAATTTTGAGACATCTCTCGTAAGATGTCAGCGTCACATCCCAATGGAAGCAAGAACTCATTGCTCACAAGAAAACTAAATTCAAGGCTCTTTTCCAAAGGTATCTCCGACCATCACAAAAAACTCTGATGTGGAGAGCTTGCTATCTGCAAAGGTCAAGGGTCAACAAACCCCAACCAGATGGAAAGCGGGATCTTGTAGGGTTTTTGGCAGTGCTGTCTTGGAATAGGGTGTTGGTGGATGTCTCTGTCTTACCTCTCTGACTACCATGTTCCTGAACTCGCTGGAGAGGGAGAAGACTCGGAAGAGATCAATCTCGCTCAGCGTGGGCTTGAGTAAGCTGTTGTAGGTGGCGATGGACTCGTTGGTACAGTAGTAGTGGCTGGCGATGCGGCCCAGCTCCGTGACCTGGGTGCGGACAGGAGTGGTCACAGAAACAGTAGGGTCAAGTTCTATACCCTAACTATATTTGTCAAACCCAGGCAGATATCTTCCTGGCAACCGACGACTGAGACACGTGAGACTTGCATCCCTCGCTCTGCAACATTTGTGCATATGCGAGTTGCCAGCTTTACAAAAAGGGTGGACATTTGGAAATTACAGTTCTTGCTGGGGCTCGATGGGCCTTATTCCTGAGTAAAACCATTTCTGGTCTTGTTTCTTGCTTCTCTGCTCTAAACTGTCAACTGGTAAATGGGATGTATCCGACAATTGTACAATTTTTGTGGGTTCCCAGCCTACCTTTTTTTTTCCATTCTTGCATACAAAATGAAGGTTTGTTTTATCACAAATTTCAATTCATTCATCACAGTAGGACAAATAACTTGTCAGGAAATTTTACTTTATTCCTTAACTGGAAATGAAGATGAAACAAAACAGCAGAGTTCAAGACTGAAATCTGGAAATCTTGGGAAAAGGTGATTTTTGTCAGAGAATGGTTGAGCTGTCAGTCAGCCGACTACAGGTACACCACAGAGAGATACGGTGCACATGTGGTATTTTTGCCGATTAAGTTTTTTTGCTGTTCCTCCAACTTTTATGAAGCCTGGCTACCGATCAAGCCAAGCTACATTTAATAGTCCGTGGAGGGCGAATAAACATGACCCAGCTGGTAAATTTACAAAACAAACCCGAATTCTTAGCTAAATGCATATATTTATGGCATATTTTTTCTCACAAATTAATCTTAAATCAATTTAAACATTCACCAGTTGGCAAAAATTGGAAATGACGGATGCAACCGCAACCCTATACAAGCTCGAAAAGACCGCATTGTTTCGACTGATATTCAGTCAGGATTTTGTCAATTTGGTCACTGAAGCTACCAAGTCCAGTTTTTAGTTTTTACAGTGATTTTTTTTAAAACACGAGAGTTCCTTTAGAAGTGAGGAAGTCATGACTGCATATGAACGATTAATACCGAGAGGAGACCGCTCACCTGGAAGTGGCCCGATTTCCGGTCGTACTTGGCCAGGTTGTTCTTGTCCAGTAGACAGCCGGCGGCGTGCACCAGGTTGATGCGGTGGCTCTCCAGGTAAGGGTCCGTGTCCTTGGCGTCCGCTGGTATCCCGTAGAGGGTGGGGTTGCGCATCATGCGGATGTACAGGTAGGTGTAGCCCAGCCAGGTGACGGCGTCCTTCATGGTCTGGATGTTGCCCAGCACCACCTCGGCGTTGAGGTTGTCCGACAGCTTGCAGACAAACTGGCTCTCCACCGGCAGCTGTTTCAAGTAGAAACAAAGAGCACCATTTTCTCGGCTGCCTTTTTGTCATTCTAGGAGAAGGCTAAGAGAGCAGATAGTTCGGACTGTTAGAGGTACACAC